CCCGCCTCACAGAGCCAAGGGCTGGCGCTCCCCCGCCGCCCGCTCCGCCCCGCCCCGGCCCTCCCCGGCCCGCCCCGGCCCCGCCCGGCCGAGAGCGGCGGCGGCGGCGGCAGCGCGGGGGGCGCCGGGGGGTGCGCGGGCCTCCCCCTCCCCGCGGGACTACAACCCCCGAAGTGCCCCGCGGCCGCCGCGCTGCGCCTGCGCGTCACCTCGGGTAACCCGAGGGGGAAACTGATGGGCGGGGGGGACGCCCGTGACGTATTTAAAAGGCGCCTCGGCCCTGCGTCCAATTTTTGCGCAGCGCGAAGGTCCCCGCGGGCGGCCGGGCGGGCGGGCGGGCGTCACCGGGACCGGGCACCGAGAGGCCGCGGCGGCACGACGGAACGCCCCGAGCCCCTGGGCACCGCCTGATGCCGGCGCCGGCTATGCTGGGAGCACTGGGCCACGGCGGGTGAGGTGCTGGGGGCGCCGGGGCGGGGGGTGTGGTGGTGGGGGGGGACACTGCGGGCGGCACGGTTGGGGCACTGGGAGGCAGTGTTGGACCACTGAGGGACAATAGGTCAAACTGTGAGAGTACTGGGGCAAGAATTAGTGAGGGAGGGCACGGGCGGGCGGTATTGGGGCGTTGGGTGGCAGTAGGTGAAGCTTTGGGGGCGCTGGGGCGGGAGGTGTAGTGGTGGGGGGCTCTGGGAAGGAGTGGAGTAAATCACACCAGGAGCGGTTCAGGGAGAGGCTGGAACAGCTCCAATCCAGTCAAATCCTGCTACGTTTCCCTGGGAGAAAACCCCAGCCATCAGAGCTGTTTGGGACAGCATATCCTGGCTTAAATCTCTTCTAACGTCTCTCTGGAGTGTTTTCCTGTTCCAGGGAATTCCTGATGCCTGGCACTGTGCTTGGTGAGGTGCTTCTGTTTAAATCCTGGACTGGCACATCCTTAATTAACATTTAAACTTAAGGTTTTCTGTAAGTTCAGGGCTGGCTGTGGTGGCAGCTCATCTCTATACAAACTGACTTCTAATTTCTTAGTTTGTTGTTGTTGTTTTATTTATTTTAATTTTTTTATGCAAAAGGAACAGAAATGTGGAAAACATGGATGTGGTAACTGCTGATCTGCAGGATAAATATCCTGAGTGGATGCTTACACAGAGCCAGGAGGAAGCTTTGTGGGATAAAAAGGTAGGTCATAGGCCGGGGAAACTTTTCAGGCTGCGTGATAAATCAACTTTGGAGCACGTGCTTTTAGTTAGGCCTGTTCCTCTGTTTTTTGTTGATGTATTCAGCTGTAATTTGTAATTTGTTATTTCTAATCAAATCAGCTTGTTAATATCTCTCTTTCCAGATTAAAATAGTGTGTGTTGCTAAAATATCACCTGTTGCTGTTATTTCTGTAGAAGTCACTTCCTGTCAGTCCTGAATTTCAAACTATCCAAAAATAAGGGGGTTTGGATGCCTTGAAATGGGAGTAACTAATTAGTAGCTTGGATATTAAAATACATCAGGTGAAACCACCGTGACTTTCACTTGTTGTCTGAGCGCCCCGAGTCCAGCTGAGAAATTGGGGCAGGAAGCCGAATGTTTTTGGGGTGGGATGGATGTCTCTGGTAGGGACAGGTGTGGCCTTTAATTCCCAAATCTTGTTTGCCAGAAGCCTGGTGTGCAGAGGAGTGTTCTGGAGGATGGGCTGCCATTCCTGGAGTTCTGTGGCTCTGTTGTTTACAGCTACGATGCCAACGACTGTTCCCTTCTCTCAGAAGATATCAGGTAACAGCTCTTACTCAGTGTTGGTTTGGGGGGTTTTGAGTCCTTTTTTTGTTTCCTGTTTGGATTTGGCTCTTGGGAATAATTTCCCCTTTGGCCTTTTACATGGGAGATGCCGTGGCTCAACCTCCCAGTCCCTCTGAAGCAGAAGCAGTGAAGGCTCTAATGCAGGTCCTTTTGCCTTCCACAGTGTGGATAATTCTGTGAGCTTCACTGACTTCATGGAGAAGTATGAGCTGTAAGAAATCAAGCACATGTTAATTCCGAACTGGGGACTTTGTTCGAAGAAAAGATGGCGAATTTGTGGTCCAAATACATTATTTCCCCCCTTTTTGTTTAGCACAGCTTGTAATACTGGGGGGAAATTTCTATACAAAACTTCCAGTCCCGTGAGATGAGTGAAGAACAGGTTTTCAAGGGAATGTGAGATAAATAAAGAACAGTATTTGAAGGGAATATAAACTATTCCATCATCTCTTGTATCTGGCTGTCCTTGAGGCTTGTGTGGCAAGGTGTTGGTAGTGGGAGGCTAAAGGACCTGTCCCCCTGTCCTGCTGAGAGGGAAGAGGTAGAGAAGTTGGGAGTTGAGCTAGGGAAGGAGGGAAGGGTTGGGGGAAAGTGTTTTTAAGATTGAGTTTTATTTCTCATTATCCACCTCTTATTTGATTGGTAATAAATTGGTTCGTTTTGATGTGTCTGTTTTGCCTGTGGTGGTAATTGGGCTCTCCCTGTCCTTTTGTCAGCCCATATTTTAAGTTATTTATAAATAATGCACTATTTATTTGCCATCAGACAAGTTCAGTTTTGAAGTGTTTCTTGTGACCTTGAGGACCAGCAGGAATTTCTCCTCCTCACGGTCTTGGTTTTAAACTGGTTTGTGTCCTGCTGGTGTGAAAGGAACGGACTGTGATTCTCATCATCCTTAGAGGTGGCTTAAGGTTGGTATTTTAAATCCTGGTAGAGCTGATAAATGGGAGGCATCTCTATTTCTTTCCAGGCAGAGTTTGTCAGATGGGGCTGCTGTTGGATTTGATATTGAATGGCCACCATCCTACACGAGAGGGAAAATGGCCAAAATCGCTGTAATCCAGATCTGCATCGCTGAGGACAAGTGTTACTTGTTTCACATCTCCCCCATGGCAGGTACTGGAATTCCTCTCTTATTTAGGGCATGAACTGCCCCTTGTTTCTTGTGCTTAACTTTAAACTTGGCCTTGAGCAATGGCTGATAAATCCCACCGCACTGGATAGCAAATATCCTTTGTTTTTCTTCCCTTTCCCACTTGTAATAAGGGGATTTTTTTCTAAGAGTGATGCCTACATATCAAGACAATCTTAGCCCCCCCTGTGTGCATGAAAATGATGTGTTTGCATTCTGAACAGGGCAAGAGAGTCTTACTTGAGGTTTATTTTTCTGCCTGGGAGAGAATATTTTATTCCAGTTTTAAAAATTTAGCTCCCTGCTCCTATAATGAGCTTTCTGTTCAGTGCCAAGAAAAACAATGAACCTGAGTAGAGCAGGCTATAGGGTTTTTTAATTTTTTTTTTTTTTTTTTTAATTTGGCTTCCGCAAAACCCCTCAAAAATGATGGCTCTTGTGCTGTTTGTTCCCAGTACCTGCATTTTATGACATCAGTTTGGGGAAAGAACACTGGCTACCTGGT